TGGGCTCTTTGTACAGATGGAGGTTGAGATCAGTGGTATCCAGCCTGGAGGAATAACATTCTCTTCAAGAGATATACTTACAGCCTAGGTTGATCAACATCAGCTCCCGGGCTTTATGGATTCGCATAAAACCTGATAGATTCTGGAGCATCGTCAATTACGTGTAATATGCTTCTGTCTGAGACAGCTTCACGCAAGCAGGTCCACCACAAACTAACGTTCCGTGTGTTTTGCAAAAGGGACTCTAAACAAACTGTCGAATGCTCTTTCGAGCTTTTCCATAAAGATTAAGACCTGTGACAGCGTGAAACATTGCCAATTTCTAGACCCGAATTCGAGCACAATCTTATCCTAGGTTTGGCATGGTTATAATGCCATGGGCCGCGGATCGACGGAAGCCAAAAAAGTTATCAACCACTATCTTCTCTCCTATTTAAATTTTAAGCTAAACATATACCTCTGCTAAATAGCAGAAGTACTATTGCCACGGAGATGGAGCTGCAATAGCTCTGATGCTAGATATGGGAATGTTCGGAATATGTAGCAAAGCGTTTACTAGTTATCGAAGGCAGAGACAGGTTAGAGCCGTGGCCCTTAGGATGTAACGGGGTTACACGTACCTGGTAACAGGTGTGTGTGTCACACGAGATGGGCATGGTGTGACTGCACACAAATAAGAATACGGTACGTGGCTGGGCAGCCAGTAGTTATGCATCTATTTAGATTTTACAATATATATTTAGGAAAATCTATATATACTTAAAAATTAGGCGGCTTTGCCGCGGATTAAATTAAATGCAATCAGTTTCTGATTTAAACAGAAGAGTTTATTAGCCTTGGGTCACGGCAATAATTACTCTTGGAGTAAGCGGATTGCGATCCGATAAACTCGTACTTGTTCTAAGTATAGAACGAAAGGTCGGTGACCTAACTTACGCTTCCTCAAAGCGCAAAGCTACGGCAGCCCTGCTGCACTTGGTAGCACTTGTAGTCAATCTACACCTGAGTCGTTTAGACTGATTCTCTGTGAGGATGGAACAAGTTTCCTCTTTGCCCCAGGTCATGCAATGCAGGACGGGCTTAACAAGCAAAAACGCGCTGCTGGAGCACCTGCAGCAGAAAATGTCTGCATCATTTGCATCTATGACGCCACCGTCAGTGACGGATAATTCTCCCCGCCCTAAGCCGCTCATGGTGAGCGTTAAGGTCTTCGAGGGGAAGGATGGAGAG